GGCAGCAGGGCACAAAGGAAACCATGATGGATTTGGAGGCAGAGGACCTTTTTTTAAATCTCAGTTCTGATTTTTTTTTTAATTTTGGGGGGAGGTAATTAGGGTTAAGTGACTTGGCCAGGGTCACATAGCTAGTTAAGTGTATGCAGCAAGATTTGAACTCAGATGCTGTTAACTTCAGGGCCAGTGCTCTATCCACTGTGCCAACCTAGTTGCCTCCAACAGACCACCAGCTCTGATCTTGACCTTGGGCAAGTCATTTAACCATTCTATGTTTCAGTTTCCTCATCTGTTAAATGAGGGAGTTGGATTCAATTACCTCCAAGATCCATTTGAGTTCTAAATCTATGACTCTGCAAACAAATTAAATTTAAGCAACACAATCCAAAGTGGAACAAGAAGCTGGCAATTATCAAAGCATTTTGGCCCTTGTAGATATGACATATGGGAGAGACACAGAGAGAAGAAAGACACGTGTCGAGGGATGGGGGGATATATATAGACAGACAGACAGACAGAAAGAGACTAGACCTGCAATTTCATTGGCACAGGTAACTTCCAGGTTAAAAAAAAAATCTGTCTGCCAATGCAACTCTGCACTTTCTCTGAAAAACTTAAAGTTTCCAGAGAGTTGCCTAGCCCCAGGGCACTATAGTGTTAAGTGATTTGCCCAGGATCACACAGACATTTTGTGTCAGACAGGGGACTTGAACTCAGTTTTGCCTGGCTCTGAGGGCAGCTCTTTATCTGCTACATCAGGGGGGTCAAACTCTCAGCTCTCAGGCCTCAAGCCACCAACAAAACTGTGTGTGGCTGAAACCACATTAAAATGTAATTGGGAAATATTTAGTAAAATAAATAAAGATACAATAGAACAGAGAGAATGATAATTTCTGCATTTTCTAAGTTAATATGAGGCCAACCAGGATCCATTTCTATTCATGTTTGATATAACTCTACTGTATGATTCTATCTTGCAAGATATCTATACCTATATAGCATATATCAATCATATCTGTGGGTATACTCAAGCAGCTAGGTGGTGCAGTGGGTTGAGTTTAAATCTCGCTTCAGACACTAATTGCCTGTGTAAACCTGGACAAGTCACTTAACCTTGTTTGCCTCAGTGTCCTGATCTGTAAAATGAGCTAGAAATGGAAAGCCACTCCAGTATCTTTGCCAAGAAAACCCAAACTGGAGTCATGAAGCATTGGACTCAACTGAAATGACTAAGCAACAAATGCCCAAGCACTGCACACATGTAAGCTATTGCATTTTCTTCAGAATTAAACTCTGTTATTCTATGAGTTTAGTGAGATGAACAGGATTTATTAGTTTAGCAAATAAGGAAGGAAAATAATTATCAACTTCCATATATATAACAATTAATGAAAAAAGGATCCACGTATATTTTCCCATTTTATCCTCATCAAAATATTGTGATACAGTTAGTGCATTACTATTGTCATTTTACTAATGAGGAAATTGAGGTGGTAAATACTTTGCCCTTGACAATGAGATGTTGATATTGAGGAAAAGTCACCACTGAGGTAAGAAATTGAATATATAAGAAATACTCCATGGACTAAAGATAAGAAAGGTTAAAACATAGGAAAAGCAGGCAGGTACTAGGGGGCATAATTCAAGTTCAGGTCAACTAAGGTCTATGCCCATTGTGGGTGGTGGTGGCAGGGGGGAAGGATATGGAATTCTGAAGATTCTCACACATGAAACGCAACAGACTACTGTACATAATAGTTCTAAAAATCTCTTGCTTTGGTCTACATATTTGCCCTCTCCCACATTCCCTCACCTACCAATGGGGTAGTAATCTGTGGGGAATATTTATGTGCATAGGTTGATGAAGGAAGGATTTTCCTGGCCAGTTATGTTGACACATTGCTAAATTAAATGTTTCTGAATTAATGTGTTTTCTGGTTCGTCTGGTAAGAAAACCATAAGTGATGACCTCAGAGTACACTTGTTGCTGTAAGTGGGTCATTGATCCATTCAGCATTCTCAGTGTATGTTAACTTCTCCCATGTTCATTTACTCCATATGAATTACATTAGCATATTGCTTTTTTCTAGTTTTGCTTCTAATTTGGTGGATTTTTTTCTTTATGCAACTTTTCAATGATTTGTCTTTCTTTTTGTTTTACTCTTTCTTCTTTGTGAAATGGTGGGCAAGTGAGGAGCTTCTAAGTCCACTACCTTGACTGTAAAACCCACCAACCTCCCCCAAGTACTTACCACAGCAGCCCTCCATTCCAATACGCTGCTCAGATTAAAGTTCCCTATTCCCCACTGTCTTTGTAGAGTCCTGAAATGTCCTGCCCAGTTCTCACTGCCTAGCTCTAGGGCCTCCTTCAAGAGCCAGATTAAAACCTAACTCTTCCAGAAGGAAGTCTTATGTTAACCCGCTCCAAATATTATATTTCTTGCTCATTCCAAATTCCTTCATCACTTAAATCCTCAATTTATAATCTATTTTGGCTTTCTTACACATTCCTGATAATTATTCTTGTCCTTACATGGGCTTTCTCCTGTCTGTTGGGTTAGAAATTCCATTAGGGCTAGAACCCTGTCTTCTCATTCTTCTCATACAGCGCTCTGGGCATACTATGATTAAAATATGATCATTTACTGCTCTATGTTTGTGAAAGTGAATGTCAGCCTTTAATACCCAAGCCATTTCACCTCCAAGAACTGAGATTCAGACCTCTCACACTCTACCTGCTCCATTTTCATCAGGAAACAATCAATGAAGTCCCGAGGGTTGCTGGGATCCAATGATCTTTGGTGTTCCTTCACTTCTTCCAAAATAAATTCACGTACTAAGTGAATATTTTTAACTAGTTTGTAATGAGATCCAGGGAGATAACGTACTAAAGATGGAAAAGAATTGTAGACCTAAAAAGAAGAATTTTATATCATACTTTACTGCAAAAAGAAAATAACTTTCTATTCTAGCACTTGGATCATGTTGAGAATACGGCTGAGTAAGTGTGGGACAAGTGCCTTTGGAAAACAGTGACTTTTCTCATCATTTCCTATACAAACCCCCTAAAAATTATCATTCTGTTCCTTGGTTGCCTGAAACTACCTTGGCTTTCACTCTCAATTCTTACTTCCAATATAAAAGTTCTCATTCCTTCTCATTATGAGGTCTTCTAAGAGCTCTGCCTACCACCTTCCACTGAGACAGCTAACTCATCTGCTAACTTGATCCAAACTTGGGTGCACAAGGGAAAAGTCAGCTTGTCTCTAGTAACATGAATTTTAACACTCAGTCCCTATGACCAGTGAGTGAACTACTCCAGTGAGGGGCCCTATAATGTCCCTCAAATCAGACCACATAGGGTGACCTTTTCTGTCTTTAGTCCCTATCAATGAAGAAGGAAATGGGAACCCATTCCAACATGGCACTATTGTACCTCCCAATGGAATGAATGATGAACTCTAGTCTAGCTGCTTGCAGTAGTTTCTTTGAAGTAATTTAAAAAAATATTCTGAGCTCCAAACAGAGAGAACAGTGGTCTCACCTCATCCATGGGGAACTTACGGATCTTGACGTTTTTCATTCAAAAGCTTCATTAAATATAGAAATTTCTGGTCTTTATATTCAAAACATTTCTGGAAAATGATAGAGCAGATTACATTACAAGGAGCACAGCCAAGGATGAACGTGGGGTCACATGGTGATCCTAAAGGAGAAAGAGAGAGAGAGGAAGACTTTAATACTGCTATTGTGATTAAAAGGAAGATTTGCCTGCCTTTAAGTAGGACCTGACTATCCTCCTTTTCCCTCTAGTTTACATTCTAGCTGACATTTATTTGGCACAGCAAGGTTGAAAAAAACCACCCTTTATGAAGCATCTGATTTCATCCACATGAGAATCCTAAGTGCAAATAGGATAATTCCCATGCTATAGATGAGGTTGCTGAGGCTCAAGAAAATCAGCAGATTTGTGTGCCACAACTAGGAAGGATAAAGACATGGAATGCAACCCAACTTCTCTCCTGTCTCCAGGTACACTGTTCTTCCTACCATACAGCATCCCTTCCCATTTCTAAATCCATATTCAGCACCTCACCTTAAGCAACTTTTACTTTCAGACTTTTCATGTCTATTTTTAAATTATATTTCATTTTATTTCAATCACTTTTGCCAGAACTAGGGTTGCAGGCACTGGTCTGGAAGTCTGGCTATTCCAAATGCTCTTAGGTTCAGGATTCTGGGTTTCAAAGTTCATAATGTCAAGGTGGTGATTCTAGTTTTTGACTGACCTCTCGTCTCTTCCTCAGGTTGCCTCACTGCTTTAGCCAGGCTGGCCCATCTGCCTTATGAATAGCAATTGGCTGGCAGCTGGTGGCAATGGCCAGTCCCTTTTCCACAGAGTTGCTTCCTCAGATGAAAGCTGTGAGCGCTGGACCAGGACCAGTGGTCTAGAGCTTGCTGCCACCCCTGTGGCCCTCATACTTAGTGTTCCTATTGGTGGCAGCTGGTCACCAGTTGTTGCTAGTGGTAAAGAGACAGAGGGCCCCTTCTCCCAAGGTAGCTGATGTGGACACTGGTTTTGCTGTTTCCCCGACTCTTGGGTTTGGAGGTCCTGAGCTGCCTCCATCAGGGTCAGAGGGGAGATTGTGGTTGAGGTGGTGTCTATACTAAAGAGGCCCAAGGACAGAGTCTTGGAGATATTCATGCTCAGGGGACTGAAGGTGGATAGAGATCCAGCAAAAGAATATTGAGAAGCAAAAATCAGCACAACGAAGAACCAGTGGAGAATATCATGATAGAGGTGAGGGAGAAGAGAGTATCAAGCAGCCAATCTTCCAGCAGTCACTTAGCTCTTACTAGGCTCTGTGCTAAGCACCAGGGGTACACAGACAATAGTAAGACAGCCCTTGCCCTCAGAGAGCTTACATTATAGTGAGGGAGACAATATCTACACAACAGAGTGGCAAAAGTCCCAGTTTCCACAAAAGTGGGGAAACGCTGTTCTCAGTTTATTCCTATATTATTGCTTTTGAAATTTCCTGGAGTAGCAGAGCACATACAACTAATTCTGAGCAATGACTGACAGCATCCTACTACTGCCCAATTCCTACCACCCAACACACACACACACACACACACACACACACACACACACACAGAGTACACATAGGTTTTGCCTTTTATGGTTTAAAAAGTAGTTATTCCATAGAATTTATGGCATCAGCATCCTCCAGTCTCCTGTGGCCCCTAAGTTTCAGATTTCATAGAAGGATGCCAACCGTTCTGTGAGATAGCTTAGATGGGGGAGTGGGGGTGAAGAGGAGGAGCATGAAGGGAAACAAGCTTCCAAGAAATGCTGCTGAGTCAGCTCATTGACTTCCTAGTTCTCAGCCCTGCTTCCATTCCTTCAGTTAGGCAGAAAACTCTGGATCCCCAAAGGATCCTAAAGCAATGCCTTCTGCCCCTGGAATCGTTGACTAAAGGTAACAAAACTGGTGCTGCTAGGTCTAGTGAGCTCTGTTCCATCTGAAAAGGAATACAAACAAGGCATTCCCTTAAATGTTCCTCACCATGCTGCCTCCTCACAAGAATAGCATAAACTCATTAGCAGAGCTGCACTGCCTCTCATCTCTTCTCTCTGCTGCCTTGACACTTTAGGGCTTCTAGGAATGACCACATGGCTGTGGGCATATCCCCAGGATGGGCCAAAAAGTGCAAACATGGTGGTTTTAGACTACAATAAATTTATTGGACCAACCTCACTCTTCATGAATTATAAGGGATAGGATGGATTTTGGTAAGGTCAGTGGTAACAAAGTAAAAAACACCAACCTTTTGTTTTTTTCAACTCCTCCATAAGATTCTTTGCCACTTCTTGGACTCGCTCTTCGATGCTCCTCTTCCCCATCCCAAAATTCCTCAGGGTCATGAGAGAGAAGCGGCGGATTTGCTTCCATGTCTCTCCATTGCTTGTAACAATACCTAGAAGGGGAGCAGGAAGAAGAGAGACCTTAGACTCTAAAGTTCCTGAAAGTCCATGGGAAAAAGTCCTTGAGACCTTGAGCCACAGGCCTTGTTCCAAGGGATTAGAATGTTATGTGGTGTCATTTTGCTTTCTCCTCTATGTATACAGTTACCTGTCTCATTCTCTCTTCATCACACTCACAAACACATCAGGTGGCCCTACACCTACATCCCACTCCTGGTAATGAAGCGGCCAGAAAGAGGGAGTCCAGGATAAAGACATAATTTGAGAAACTGAATGGTTATAGGGCAAGTTAGTTGACATCTCTCCATCTTTTTACACAAGGAACCTAAAAGATTATGATGTCCTGAAGTCCTAGTCTTCCCACTTCACACAGATACCAAAGAGTGAGTGAGAGTTTCTATGTGTTGTCTTTTGTGGGTTACGAGGTGGTGCAGAGGAAAGAGTACCAGACATGGAGTCAGGAAAATCATCTTCATGAGTCAATCCAGCCTCAGACACTTACTGTTCATATGATACTGGGCAAATCACTTAATCGTGTTTGTTTCCATTCCTTATCTGTAAAATGGCCTGGAGAAGAAAAGAAAACCACTCCACTATCTTTGCCAAGAAAACTGAATGACAGAGAGTTGGACACAACTGAAATGATGGAACACTAAGAGGTACACTTAGTAAGAATAGAAAGTTATAAAAGCTCAGTACAAATCCCAAACCATGTAGCTTTCCTTAGCTTTCTTTTTTTCCCCTAAGTCTGAAACAATCTACATAGGATTGTTGTTTATGGGGAAGTGATTGTTAAGTCAAAACAAAATATGGCAATTATACAACGAATTGTGGTTAATTATGCCTTTATGGTACACACATTGATACACACATACTAAAGCTTAACATGGCATATCCTTCTTTCTCTGAATATATCACACCTTCCTACCTTCAGATATCACCCTCTGACTCCAAACATGGAGGAAGACTTCACCTAACTACACTTATATTGAGAACCATACTTTTGCCTGTAATCTTATTTCCATGGAAGGTTTATCAAGGTCAAATTCATTACCCTCTGCTTCAAGATTCTTCATAAGGGAACATTTGGCCTACAGTCAAGAATCTGAGTTCAAATCCAGCCTTAGATACTGACTAGCTAAACTAATCACTGAACATCTTTTTGCCTCAGTTTCAACATCTGTAAAATGAAGAGTAATAACAGCACCCCCTACAAGAGTGGTTGCAAAGAGCAAATGAAATAATACTTATAAAGCACTTAACACAATGCCTGGCACATAGTAGGTACTCTATTTGTTAGCTTTTGTTGTAGTTGTTGTGGTTGTTAATTCATTCATTTATTTCCCACCTTGATTTACTCATATGTCCCTATTACAAGTGTTCTACATAGCAGAGAATGTGTTTCCTGTCTACTCAGGTTATCAGGAGTCATAATGAAAAAGGTTCTCAAAGACTTTTGCCAGGCAGTAGCTGATAGAATGCCATGAGAGACAGATTTTTGTCCTAATTTGAGCTCTAGTAGGCTAAGCAAGGTGACCTATTCCAGAAGTTGTCAGATTATTATAACTTTTAAAACTATTTCAAAAACTGTAGGCACTTTTCCTTCCTGTGGATTCTGATCCACATTGGCTATACAACACCTTGTTGGTCTTCAGAGGATCAATATTTTGGATGATCATTATCCTTGCACAATGAAGTGATTTGATTTGCCTGTTACCAGTGGCACATAGCAAATCCCTGACCACCAGCTTCTCATTTCACCAATTTGCAAAATTTCCTAACATTGTACATCTATTGGCTGCCACTCATCCTCTGCTGCTATGCCTAACAATACATATATGGCAAGAGAAAAGTCTCAATATCCTATACAGTGTGGGGTCTTGTCTCAGTTATTCACTTTCTTGGCACTCTTTTTTTTTTCCTAATGAGTAAAGAAATTACCTGCAGTAAACCCTATTCCCCATCCAATTTTCTTTTTCCAGATGGAGTAGGAGGAGGTGAGATAGGCCTAGGGCTACTGTCTCATTTCCTTCTTTTTTTTAATATAAATTTTCTAATTTTTAGTTTTCAACACTCACTTCCACAAGTTTTTGAGTTCCAAATTTTCACCACATCTCACCCTTCCCTCCATTCCAAGATGGCATGCATTCTGAATATCCCTTCCCCTAGTCTGTCCTTTCTTCTATCTCTCCCCCCTTCTCTTATCCCCTTCCCCTTCTATTTTCCTGTAGGGCAGGATAGACTTCAATACCCCTTTTCCTGTATTTCTTATTTCCCACTAGCATGTGAAAACATTTTTTTTAAACATGTGTTTTTAAAACTTTAGGTTTCAAATTTTCTCTCTTCCTCCCTCCCCATCCACCCTCATTAAAAAGGAAAATGACTCAATACAGGTTGTACATGTGCAGTTATGCAAAACACTTCCATAGTAGACATGTTGTGAAAAACTAACTCTATTTCCCTTAATCCTATTCTGCCCTCTCATTTATTCTATTCTTTCTTTTGACCCTGTCCCTCCTCAGAAGTATTTCCTTCTGATTACCCACTTTCCCCATTGGCCCTCCTCTCTATCATCCCCCTGCTCTCTTGTCCCATCTCCCCGTATTTTCCTGTAGGGTAAGACAGATCTCCATACCCAATTGAATGTGTATGTTATTCCCTCCTAAAGCCAAATCCTATGAGAATAAGATTTCACTCATTCCCTCTCACCTTCCCCTGCTTCCCCTCCACTGTAAGAGACTTCTCTGTTGTTTTTTTTTTGTGAGATAATTTACCCCATTCTACCTGTCCCGTTCTTCTTCTCTGAGTATCATCCTCTCTCATCCCTTAATTTTATTCTCCAGATATGACCCATTAATATTCAACTCACCCTGTACCCTCTATCTATTTATCTATATATGTATACGTATAATTTTTTTTCCTTCAACTACCCTAATACTGACAAAGGTCTCATGAGTTATAAATATCATCTTTCCATGTAGGATGTAAACAGTTAAATCTTAATAAGTCTCTTTGATTTCTTTCCTGTTTACCTCTTCATGTTCCACTTGAGTCCTGTGTTTCAAAGTCAAATTTTCTATTCAGCTCTGGTCTTTTCATCAGGAATGCTTGAAAGTCCTCTATTTCACTGAATGACCATTTTTTTTCCCCGCGAAGGATTAAATTCAGTTTTGCTGGGTAGGTGATTCTCGGTTGTAATCCTATCTCCTTTGCCCTCTGGAATATTATATTCCATGCCCTGCAATCTTTTAATGTAGAAGCTGCTAAATCTTGTGTTATCCTGATTGTGTTTCCACAGTACTTGAATTGTTTCCTTCTAGCAGCTGGTAATATTTTCTCCTTGACCTGGGAGCTCTGGAATTTGGCTATAATATTCTTAGCAGTTTTCCTTTGGGGATCTCTTTCAGGAGGAGATCTCTGCATTCTTTCAATTTCTATTTTGTCCTCTGGTTCTAATATATCAGGGCAGTTTTAATTGAAAATTTCTTGAAAGATGATGTCTACGCTCTTTTTTTGATCATGGCTTTCAGATAGTCCAATAATTTTTAAATTCTCTCTCCTGGATCTATTTTCCAGGTCAATTGTTTTTCCCATGAGATATTTCACATTGTTGGTCTAATTTTTCATTCTTTTGAATTTGTTTTACAGTGTCTTCATTTCTCATAAAGTCACTAGCTTCCAATTGCCCTATCCTAATTTTTAAGGAAGTATTTTCTTCAATAAGCTTTTGGATTTCCTTTTCCATTTGGCCAATTTTTCTTTTTAGGGCATTTTTCTCCTCATTGGATTTTTGGACCTCTTTTGCCGTTTGGGTTAGGCTATTTTTTAAGGAGTTATTTTCTTCAGCATTTTTTTTGGGTCTCCTTTAGCAAGCTGTTGACTTGTTTTTCATGATTTTCTTGCATCACTCTCATTTCTATTCCCAGTTTTTCTTCTACTTCTCTTGCTTGCTTCTCAAAATCCTTTTTGAGCTCTTCCACGGCCTGGGATAGATTCATATTTTTCTTGGAGGCTTTGGATGTAGGAGCTTTGACTTTGTTGTCTTCTTCTGGTTGTATATTTTGATCTTCTTTGTCCCCAAAGTAAGATACTATAGTCTGACTCTTTTTGCACTGCTTGCTCATGATCCTGGCCAGTTACTTGAGTTTTAAACTCTTTGTTAAGGTGAGAGTCTGCTTCCAGTGTGGAGAATGTACTGTCCCAAGCTTCGGGGGGGTTGTACAGCTGTTTTAGAGATACTTGTAGGGACCTGTAAATTTTCAGTTCTTCTAAAGTGGTATGATAAGGGGTGAGGTGTTTACTCATTTCCTAGGCTGTGACCACAAGTACTCCTTTCTCTCCTTTAACTGTGAGGAGGGGACCCACTCCACAGCCACTACAAGCTCCACCTCAATAGCACTCCTCTTCACCCCAGCACCACCACCCAGAACTCTGACAGAGAGATCCAAACATGGGCAAAACAAGTGATTCCTGCCTCAGCACTGGCAAAGAGATCCCTGCTATCCCTCTCTAATCAGCCACTGGATTCCCCTTCAGTCTGTGGGCTGGAAGATTGGGAAGCAGCTGCTGCCCCCCCCCAGGGCCACGCTCTTGGGGAATGGATCTGAAATGCCACCTTCCTCTCTCAGCACCGACAAAAACAGACTTTTCCCACTGACATTCTAAGTTATCTTTGGCATTCGTGGATTGAGGAGTCTGGAAACTGCCACAGCCACCCGTGATTCAGTCCTCTGAGGCCTGCACCAGGTTCGCTGTGCCTGAGCACCCATGGTGCCCTGAGCTGTTCTCCTAGCCTGGTGCAATATGCCTGTCTGAGCAATCATCCAGCTTGTCTTGGGCTGGAAATTTGTTTCACTCTCTATTTTTGTGGATTCTGCTGCTTCAGAATTGGTTTAGAGCCATTTTTTATGAGTATTTGGAAGGGTTTTAGGGGGAGAACTCAAACAAGTCACTGCTTTCACTCTGCCATCTTCAACAAGGACCTTGGCACTATTTGAAGAGATTAATTAGTGAACACTTAGAAAGGGTGGTCACTAAGAGCCAGCATGGGTTCATCAAAACTAGGTCTTGCTAGCCTAACCTGATTTCTTTTTCTTAACAATATTATTAGACTACTAGATCTAGGCAATGCCTTGAAAGATTAGACTTAGATTTCAGCAAGTCATCTGACAATGTTCCTTCTGAGAAATTCATAGAGAAGATGGAGAAGACACTGGGCAGATTGCCAGAAGACATGTTCCTAGGAATCCCAGGCTACATAAAGTTGTGGTCATTGTCCAGTAAGCAGACACTAATGTAGGTGTAGGCAGCTGAGCACTAGATCTCTGAACAGCAAGGAGAAAATTCCAAACAACTGGAAAATGAACTAGAATAATGGATCCTGGAAGGTAAAAGTCACAGCTGAGGGGGCAATGATTACAGGAAACTGTACAGGCTAGAAAGATGGGAGGAGATCTAGCTTCTCCCTCCATGACTCTTCCACCCCACAATCATTCTCTTTCTTTCTTCCTTTCTTTGATGCCTTCCTTCCATTCTTTCTTTCATTCTGCTTTTCTTCCTTCCTTTCTTTCTCTCCCTCTATTTCTTCTTTTCATTCTCCAACTTCTTTCTTGTCTTTCTCTCTCTCTTCTTTTTTTCTTTCCTTCCTTTCTGCTCTTTCTCTCTCTGTCTCTGTCTCTCTCTGTCTCTATCTTTCTGTCTTTTTATTTTTCGCTTCATCTCTTTCTTCCTACTTTAACTGGAGATAATATACAACATGAAGCAACGCTGCCACAGGAAAAAATGTTGGCTTCCACATCTCTCACTGTATCTTCCCCCATCATGCCACAGCTTTGCGGGATTTGGCTTAAAAGTGGGTCCATTTCCACTAATTCTTGGAAAACCGTTCTTTTTTTCTCTTCTTGTCTTTCTCTTCTTCCTCTATACCCAGCAGAAACTTACCCATTCCATCATCAAGCAAATTGTAAAGTGGCGTAGGTCCTCTATCAGCAAACTTGTCGCCATAGTCAATCAGAGCTTCTTTCACTGCCGCATACCCATATAACACAACAGCACGCTCAGCACCAAATTGCAGAGTGAACACTGGGCCATATTGTTTTCCTAGCTGTGAAAAGAGATGTGGGCAGTAATGAGAGGGTCATCACTGAATCAAGTGATAAACTGCTGGCATTACCATTGTTGACCTTATTGGAGAAGTTCTCAATCCACTACCAGCTCCTTCAAAATATTTCTGACATTTATTACAGGGAGGATGATACAACCCATAAACCCAAACCGAGCCATAGATGGCTTGAAAGGCTAAAAGTTCATCCTGTGCCTTGGACTAGAAGCCAGAAGACTGGTTAATGAAGAACAATTTATGACCTCGGTGCAATAACTGCAACCTTTTAGAGAGGTTCAGCTTATATTTCACAGCTAGGTGCCATAGTGGGTACAGCACTGGACCTGGAATCAAGAAGGCCCTACACAAAATCCAGTTTCACATACCTAATAGCTATGTCACTTCAGCCAAGTCACTTAACCTCTGTCTGCCTCAGTTTCCTGATCTGTGAAATTAGGGTAATAATGACACCTAATTCTAAGGGTTCTTTTGAGAATAATAAAATAATATTTATAAAACACATTTGGCAAACCATAAATCACTATATACATGCTATTATTATTGTTATTGTTGTTGTTGTTCATCTAAAGCTTTGAGAACAGAAGATTTGGAAATGGGTAGAATACTATAAGTGAAATCCTGGAGCAGAAAAAGGTACACATTCCAATAGAAATCCTATAAACCTGTATCATTGTATCATAGGTATACATCCAGAATACACTTTGGAGATCATTTAAATCCTTTGTTGGGGGTGCGAACTCTTTTCATAGTGTGCTGAAGCCTATGTACTCCTCTGAATATTTTTAGATTAAAATACTTAGGATTACAAAGGAAATCACTTATATTAGAATAAAATGAAGATAAAATTTTTCCCATCCTAACTCACAGAACCTCTGAAAAATATCTACAGACCCAATGGGATTTCAGAACTCCTCTTCTAAATCAATCATAATTTCACAGGTGAGGACACTAAGGGCCCAAAAATCAGGATACATCTGGGAAGGATTTGGTAAAAATATATATATACACATTACACATTGGTTTGTCAATCTACCAGGTAAAAATGAGAACATAATTTTGTTTTCACATATTAATCTCAATCTTTTCTCACAACCCTGTGAGGCAGATAGGATATTTTTTTGATAAAGTCCTCCTACAGACATAGGAAACTAAGATCCAGAGAGGTCATCATGACTTTTCCGAGGCACAAAGCTAATGATTATCAGAATCTGGACTTGAAGTTCAAATTCAATGCCTTTTCTACTAGCCCATGTTAACTTTCAAAGGCTTTAAGAGCTATAGATCTTACTTCAGACCTCACTGGTTCTTCTTGAGGCCAATGTTACTTTCAATCAGGCACACTTAACATTATATGCAAGGATTGGGCATCACACAGAGACTGCTTAAGGGCTCCTTTGAAGGAATGTGCAAGGAAAATATTCTCCACTCTGATCCAACAAATACTGGACATCTTCACCTGTTTGCAGGACCTACTTGTTCCTCAGGCAACAGAAATAATCAGGCACATTAAATACCAACTTTCTTCCTATGGTAGGCAATGAGCAATTTTAGTGGGACTGATGGCATTTTCTCCTAGAATTTCAAAGTGCCAATGTGAGCAGTGATAGCAGAGGATGGCAGTTGTTGTAGAATGGATTTCATCAATTCCTACAGGAACTTGATAGCACCAAGCTAGTGCTGAAACATTGGGCTCTGATGGCTACTACAGTGAATCAAAATATAGTCTAGAAAACCTATGAGGTGTCTACCTCCCTACTGTAACATGCTCTACTCATTAGAACAAGCTGCTTGAAGTCAGTCCCCCCAAAACAAACTGACTGCAGTTGGAGTCAGGAACAAAACCAACAGAAGACAAAGATACTTACTTACCTTGCAAAGAGATTGAGGGATATTCTTAAGGTCTACCTGGAGCATATTGCCAATAATGGGAAAAGGAACAGGACCAGGTGGAAGTTTTCCTCTTCCAAAACCCTTTCTCCATGATAAAATGAGAAGCAGACATGACATACAGAGCAGTAAGCCAAGAGCAATGGCCACAGATGGATCCATTGACACGCTTCTTTACTGCTAAGGCAATAGAAGGCTTAGAATCCAAAGATGGAAAGGACTGCAAACACAAGATCAATCAGGTAATAATTCCTTGGCATCCTGATTAAGCTTCTGATGGACTTTGGCCTGCCACTAAGATTAACATAACCCTCCTCTTGTTCTATAGTAGTGTATTTTAAAGTAACAGGAGCCATTAAATTTGTTGTTTGAAGTATGACTGATTCATTTTGCTCCTTATGTGCCACAGTTATTTCCCAATATGGCCCTGCCTCCCCCTACAATCAATACCTTTAAAAAACATTAACAAAAACTACTGATACTGGGACTTTGACAGCGTATGTCACATACCATAGTACATTATCACTCTGCTGCTAAAGTGTTTCTTAATCTATCCTAAGATTGAGGCCACTTTTATAACATTAAAAATCTCATTGATCCATTGTTGTTTGTCTTTCATTCTTGAAGAGGACCATGACTTCGGGGAGCAGATGCCATGAGCTTTCCTTAAAATTATAAATAATATCTGTCTAAAACCATCAGTAAGCATTATCTGTGATGGGTACAAATCAGAAACTTTTTCAGTAAGATCACGGGCAAAGTAAGGATGTTACTGTTATTCAATCTTATACTAGAAATGCTACTTACAGCAATAAGAAAAGGAAAAGAAATTGAAGGAACTACAATAGACAATGTGGAAACAAAACTATCAGTCTTGGCAGGTGATATGATTACATCCTTAGAGAATTCTAGAAAATCAACTAAAACTATATTAAAATAATAACTTCAACAACATTTTGAGATATAAAATCATCAGCATTTATATAAGATTACCAACAAGGTCCAGCAAGAAGAGATAGAAAGAGAAGTGGCACTTCAAATTACTGCTTACAGTAGAAAATACTTGGGAGTCTGCCTGCCAAGACAAATCCAGGAACTATATAAACACTTTTCGCACAAATAAAGTCAGATCTAAATAACTGCAGAAATATTAATTGCTTACAAGTAGGCCAAGCCAATATAGTAAAAATGAAATTTCCACCTAACTTAATTTACTTATTCAGTGCTGTACAACCAAAGTACCCAAAAGGTTTTTATAGAGGTAGAAAATATAGTAACAAAACTCATTTTGTAGAACAAAAGAAGAATATTAAGAGAATCAATGAAAAAAAATGTGGAGGGTAGCCTAGCAGTACTAGATCTCAACTGTATTACAAAGTGATAATCATCAGAATAATCTGGTATTGACTGAAAAATAGAGTAGTGGATCAGTGGAATAGGTGAAGTATATAAAACATAGAAGTAAACGACCATCGTAATCTAGTGTTAAACAAACCCCAAGATCCAAGCTTTTGAGACAAGAACTCATGATTTCACAAAATTGCTGAGAAAACTTGAAAGCAGTTTGGCAGAATATAGGTATAGAACAACATCTTATATCATATACCATGATAAAGGCAAAATGGCTACATGATTTAGATGTAAAGAGTGATCTCCAAAGCAAATTAAGAGAGCATGGAACACTTTATTGATAAGGGAAGAATTTATGCCCACGTAAGAGATAAAGAGCATTAGGGAATGTAAAGTGGGTAATTTTATTACATTATATTAAAAAGTTTTTGTGCACACACACATACACACACACACACACACACACAAAGTGGAATGTAACCAAGATTAGAAGGAAAGCAGGAAACTAGGGGTGGTGAGCAAATTTCTCTGATAAAGGCCTCATTTCTCAAATATATGGAGAACTGAGTGAAATATAAAAGAATATGAGCCATTCCCCAGTTGATAAATGGTTGAATGATATAAACAGGCAGATTGCAGATGAAGAACTCAAAGCTGTCTATATTCATATAGAAAATATTCTAAATTACTACTGATTAGAGAAATACAAATTAAAACAACTCTGAGGTACCAGCTCACATCTATCAGATTGACTATTATGACAGAAAAGGAAAATGGCAAATGTAGGAGGGAATACAGGAAAATTGGAATAGTACTGCATGGTTGGTAACAGTGAACTGTTGTGAACTGATCCAACCATTCTGGAGAGCAATTTGGAACCATGCCCAAAAGGCTATAAAACTGTGCATACCCTTTAACCCAGCAATACAACTTCTAGGCCTGTATCTGAAAGAGATTATACAAATGGGAAAAGGACTCATACATAAAAAATATATGTATTTATAGTAGCTCTTTTAGTGGTGGAAAAGAACTGAAAATTGAGCAAATGCTCATCAACTGAGGAATGGTTGGATAAGTTGGGGAATACGATAATGATGGTTTGCAATTGTGATGTAAGAAATGATGAGGGCTTCCAGAAGCCAAGATGGCAAAGTAAAAATGAAGTCACTCCCACTCTCCCCTATCAACCTCTGAAAACCCAGAAAATATCACTTCAGAAAAAAACCCTGGAACAACTGAACTAGGAGAAAGATGGTGAGCAGCAGTGCAGCAGCCCAGCAAATGGGTCTCCCAGTGCCTCAGCAAAAATAAGGGAAGGAGCACTACAAACGGCCCCACGCAGATAAACACCCTGCACCATTCATCTGAAAGGAGCTGAAGAAAGCAACTTAAAGTCTTCCTAAAGCCCCAGCCTTGCTGATTCCAACCCAACACCAGGTAAGCTGTCAGAACCCCAGGAAGGGATCCTGAAGCCCAGATGGTAGAGCAGGCAAACACCAACACCTGGACCTCCACATGTCTCAGTGAGAGCAGGGGAACCGTGGCAACCATCTCAGAAAACCCCCAGGTGCCTTGGCACTCTACCACAAAGGAATCTCCAGTGCATTAGCAGAAAGGGGAGCATGCAGGGGCCCCAGGCAGATAAACACCCTGCAGCACCCATCTAAAATGAACTGAAGAAAGCTAATGGAAAGTGAAAGCAGGCAACCTAGAATGGCCTGAAAGTTCCAGCCTTGCTGATTCCAGCCCGACAAGAGGTAAGCTGCCAAAATCCTACAGCCTCCAATTGACAGCATAAGAGGCCCCAGCACACAAAGCCAGTGACCAAGACCCAGCCTCCCAACACAAGAAGCTTGGGTCAGTACCCTCTGTCCCCAGGAGAGCTCAATCTCTTTAAAGGCCAGGGAATAAAGAAACACCATGAGTAAAAAGAAACATACCATAGATTCATATTATGAGAAGAGTGAAGATCAAGACAGAAATTCTGAAGAAGACAACATTGTCAACAAACCCACATCTGCAACAACAAAAGGGAATATGAACTGGTCTGAAGCCCAAAAAGCCTTCTTAGAAGAGCTCAAGAAGGATTTTAATAGTCAAATGAGAGAGGTAGAAGAGTCCTTCAAAATACAATTGGCCAACTGGAAAAAAAATACACTGAAGAAAACAAGTCCCTAAAAAACACAATTGGCCAATTGAAGAAGGAAGGACAAAAACTAACAGAAGAGTACACTGAAGAAACAAGTCCCTAAACACAATGGCAATATGAAGCCAAATAAAGAAGAAGGAAGGACAAAAACTAACAAGCGATAAGTGAGAGAACAAAATAGAAAATCTGTTAAAAACTAGAATTGGACAAATGGAAACTAATGTCTCTATGAGAGAGCAAGAATCAGTCAAACAGAAAAAAAAAATGAAAAAATAGATGAAAAATGTAAAATACCTCATCAGTAAAACAACCGACCTGGAAAATCTCAGGAAGACAATTTAAAAATTATTGGACTACCTGAAAATCATGATGAAAAAAAGAGCCTGGACAGTATCTTTCAGGAAATCATAAAGGAAAACTGCCCTGAAGTCCTAGAACCAGAAGGAAAATAACCATAGAAAGAATACACGCTCACCACCTGAAAGAGATCCCAAATTGACAACCAAGGAAATATAATAGCAAAATTCCAAAATTACCAGATGAAAGAGAAGGTGCTGCAAGCAGCCAGAAAGAAACAATTTAAATATCATGGAACCACAGTCAGGATTACACAGGACCTTGCAGCTTCTACATTAAAAGACCACAGGGCATGGAACATGATATTTAAGGCAAAGGAGCTTGGAATGCAGCCAAGGATCAATTACCCAGCAAAAATGAGCATCATTTTTCAAGGGAGGATGGATATTCAACAAAATAGGAGACTTCCAAACTTTCCTGATAAAAAGACCAGAGCTCAACAAAAAATTTGATCTTCAAGTACAGGACTCAAGAAGACAAAAAGGTAAATGGGACAGAAAGATACAATATGTTGTTAATAAGGGCATGTTTAAACCCCTACAAGGGAATATGACACTTGCAACCCTTGAGAACTGTATTGTTATTACACCATGTTAAAGGAGTATACATAAAGAGGGTGGATATTAGTTGACTTTGATGTAATGATAAAAAAAATCTAATCAAGTGGGTTAAATGGATCCAAATAAGTGGATCAATCTGATCTTAGAAAATGTACTGAGAAAGGAGGAGGCAGACAAGGGTAAATTACATTACAGGAAAAGACACAAAATCCTATTACAGCAGAGGGAAAGAAGGGGGGGGAGCATTGTTTGAACCTTACTCTCATCAGATTTGGCTCAAGAAGGGCATAACATAATCAGTTAGGTATACAAATCTAACTTGCCCTATATGCAGTAGGAGGGAAAGGGGGAAAAAAGTGAGGGGGCATAGAAAGGAGGGAAGAAGCACTAAGAGGAAAGGGGAAGAAAAGGGAAAGGGATAATAGAAGGGAGGAGGGCTGAAGGAGGCAGTGGTCAAAAGCAAAACACTAGTGAAGGGGAGAAAGGAAAAAGGAGAAAGAAAAACATAAATGGGGGAAAAAAGGATGGAGAAAAAGACACAGATAGTAATCATAACTGTGAATGTGAATGGGATGAACTCTCCCATAAAACGGAAATGGATTGCAGAATGGATTAAAAACCATAATCCTACAATATGTTGTTTACAGGAAACACATTTGAAAAAGAGTGACACATACAGGGTAAAGGTAAAAGGCTGGAGCAGAATATATTATGCTTCAGCTGAAGTGAAAAAAGCAGGGGTAGCAATCCTGATCTCAGACAAAGCAAAAGCAAAAATAGATCTAATCAAAAGAGATAAGGAAGGAAACTACATCCTGCTAAAAGGCACCATAGACAATGAAGTAATATCATTACTAAACATATATGCACCAAATGGTATAGCATCCAAATTCTTACAGGAGAAGTTCAGGGAGTTACAGGAAGAAATAGACAGCAAAACTATACTAGTGGGGACCTCAACCTCTCTCTGCACTACATAATCTAACCACAAAATAAACAAGAAAGAAGTTAAGGAGGTGAATAGAACATTAGAAAAGTTAGGTATGATAGACCTCTGGAGAAAACTGAATGGGGATAGAAAGGAATATACTTTTTTCAGCACACATGGCA